ACGATGTCTTCAAGGCTTCAAATGCTGCTTCCGCTTCTTGATTCCATTGAAATTTATCTTTACTAGTCAAGCGTGTAAGTGGAGCTGCAACTCGTGAGAAATCTTTGATGAAGATCCGATAGTAATTTGCAAATCCCAAGAAACATTGGACATCTCTTACCGTCCTTGGAATCTTCCAATCCATGATTGTTTGGACTTTCTTAGAATCCATCATGAGACCATCATTTGAAATGATGTATCCTAAAAAGTCAACTTGAGTAGTGTGAAATACACACTTTTCCATCTTGGCGTACAATCCTGCATCTCTGAGTTTTTGTAATACTTGACGAACATGTATTTCATGTTCTTCAACATTCTTAGAATAAATCAGGATATCGTCTAGGTAGCAGACGACAAAATTATCTAAGAATTCACGAAATACATCATTCATGAGATGTCGAAAAGCAGCTGGTGCATTCGTGAGTCCAAAAGGCATGACATTATATTCAAAATGCCCGTACCTGGTTCGAAACGCAGTCTTCCATTCATCTCCTTCTTTGATCCGTACTAGATTATATGCTCCTCTTAGATCTATTTTTGTATAGATCTTAGCTTGATTTAACTGGTCAAGGAGTCCTGATATCAAAGGTAATGGATACCTGTTCTTGATTGTGATCTTATTGAGTCCTCGATAGTCAACACACATTCGTAAAGATCCATCTTTTTTCTTTACGAATAAAATTGGAGCTCCTGCTGGAGATTTTGAATGGCGTATGAAATTCTTTGCTAAATTCTCGTCAATATATGTCTTGAGTTCAGCCAACTCATCTTGCGATAAACTGTAAATTGGTCCAAATGGTGGCAGAGTTCCTTCCTTGAGATCGATTGAACAATCGTATGGGCGATGCTCAGGAAGAATATCTGCATTCTTTTTCTCAAAAACGTCTTGATAATCCTGATATTGACTTGGAATGCCACTTGAAGTCTTTACGCTTTCAGAAATAGGTGCAGCATAAATAGCAAAAGTTGATCCTTCTTTTGCTGCGTGTATAAATGCTTTTGCACCTATAAGTGCGGGTTTTACTATACTAGACTCATGGTTTTTTACTTGATTAATAGAACTATTACTAATGCTTTGAGGAAAATCAAGTTTACGAGAAATCCAATCTATTCGAGGATTATACTTTTCTAACCATGATAAGCCTAAAATAACTGGATTAGAGGGAGATCTAATTATATTAAAAATTACGCAACTACTATGACCATTTATTATTACATCTACAGGAAGTGTTTCGTGAGTTACATCTCCAGAAGACAACGGACGACCATCTATGACTTCTACGTGTACAGGTTTAGTTTTTTGTATTAATGATATTCTATGACATCTAGCAAATTCTTCATCTAAAAAACAAGATGAGGCTCCTGAATCTACCAAGGCAGAGGCTTTGTAATTATTAGGTCCTAAACGCACATCTATTATAAAACAAGGAGATGGTTCTGAGGAGAGGATAGGACCTTCATTAGAAGTTGTACAAGATTCCAGCCGCACGGTGCCTATTGTAGCTGGACGTACTCGTTTTCCGACATACTGTCTTCTTTGACAGCCGTACTCCTCATTTTGTAGTTGCGTCGCTTCTTTGGACAATGTTGAGCAGTGTGCTTAGGTTCTCCACAATATAAGCACAATCCTTCTTGTCGACGACAAGACTTTTCTTGCTCAGTAAGAGGTTTGAAACGTACCGCATCAATTTGCATATCCTCTACTTTTGAAGGTATGTGTTGAGGAGACGTCGGTGTTGCCATTGAATTGTAGTAACGTTGAGGCCCACTTGTGCGACTCTCGGATCGAAATTCAAAAAGTCGATTGTCGCACTTCATAGTAAAGTCAATTGCTTGACTCAATGTTTGAGGATCAAGTAAATTAAGCATCAATTTCTTTACCTCATATTGTAATCCGTAGAGAAATTGACTCACAAGTGCGGCATCATCCCACTTGATATCAGTTGCAAGTTGTCAAAATTGTAAAGCATATAATGTTACTGATCGATTGCCTTGTCGCAAAATACGGATCTTGTTGGTTGCAACACGAATTGCATCATGTTCTCCAAACATGGATCGAAACTCCGCCAAAAAAGCCTCCAGATTATCCAATATTGGATCTCGTCGTTCAAGAAAAGATGAAAACCATGACAATGCTGAACCTGAAAGAAGTGTACCAATGAATCTAACTTGTGACCCTGGAGTTGGATAGCTCTGGGGTTGAAGTTCAATCACTAGTTGGACCTGATTGATGAATCCTCGAAACTTGGATCTGGTACCATCAAACTTCTCGGGCAAGGCAACTCTCGGTTCTCTAACACTCGAAGGGTGTTCCATTCTGGGAGAAGGGACATGGTTTGGTGCAGATGTTGAAGCAGCCCCAATCATCTCTATATCTTCACTTCCTACCATTCTTGTTGCTCCTTGTGGTGGTAAATTGAGTTGATGCATCGCAAGCATTAACTCCCTCAATTGTTCTTGCATCTGTGCCATTGCACTCTTCATTTCAACAAGCTCTGCCATAGTAGCACTTAGAAAAGAGAAGATGTCTAATAACGCTCAAAATAGAAGAGAGGAATTGATAACAAAGAAAATACTAAGAACAATATCAGTTTAAAAGAGGGTAATCCGCAACTTCTAATGCGCTTATGTCTTATCAAGAAAAAGGGGTAATCCACTCTTAATCAAGAAAAGACAAAGCTCTGATATTGTAAGTGTACTCTTGTCAATCTGTCAAGGACAAGAACTCGATGAAAGCTAAAGAGTAAGTGAGACTTTTCTCAAAAAGAAATAGGACAAAATAGAAATATGTATATTAAGAAAGAAACTGGAATGGCTATTGCCAAAATACAAGAAAACTAGAGACCCTTGAAACTAGACTAGAAGCAAGAAAGGAGTTGACAAGAGTGAAGAGGGCTTCACTCTTGCCTCTATATATACTATCTAACTAGAAGCCACGTGGCGATGTTCTATAAGACCTCCAATATATGTTGACTTTCTAGGCCACATGCCTTTGCTTGCAAGGCAAGTTTTCTATGGATGGACCACGTAGTTAGCTTGTTCTTTAAGCTTCCAACATGGCTAACTTGTTGACCAAGTTTCTAACCTAAAAGTCAACTATAGACTCCTATAAAGTCAAAGCAGCGTCTATGAAGCTTCTATGAAGCTTCTAAGAAGCTTCTCTAGAAGATATTACACAATTAACCTACTTTTATCTACTTTTACATACTTTTATCTATTCATATGTATGTCCGTGACAACTGTTCTATCACTCAAAATATTTGTATGTTTTTAAAACACCTCCATGTATATTTAATGTATGAAAGATTTTAACTATAGGGCCTCGGATGTTTAGCATCCATCATTCTATAGCTGCACAAGGTCAGATCTTCCTTGGATGCTATAAGAGGCTTTTTAATAATTTTGTTCTTTGGGTTGCTGCTGGTCAGCCATCTATATATTATTTCAATCTTTATGTTTTATACCAAGTCAATGTAGAGTTGTCCTATAAATCAACATAGATGTGTATATTACACTTTGACCACAAGTGATAGCAGTCTATGATGTAATGACTCTAAACTATACTACCTAATGATCTAATGAGGTGGTTATTGTATAGTGGTTGTTGTAGCATTTCATTTGTATGTCGAGGTTCTTTTCGATGTAGTCATGTATGAAATTCTTACTATACATGGAGTATGTTACACTAGAAATGTCAGCCATTACAAAGTACTAGAATTTTAGTACTTGTTAGCCAATGGACATTATGGTGCTACATGCTCTTTTTAGTGTATTATATTTTGATAGCACAATATTGGAGCATAATCTTCTAAGATTCTACTTTAGAAAAGAGCCTTGAAAAATCAACTTGGCTAAAAATGCTTGTGCTTAAATCTCTAGATGAAGTATTTTTAAGCCTTGTTAGATTATAGGTTGTATTACCATGTGCCAATGAATTTTTACACGAGTAGTTTTTGATGTAATGCCTGACCATAAGTAACTTCTTACTAACATGTAAACTTGACTGAAGATCTTGTTTTTTATGGTTGCACATGATGAGATGTATAAAATAGAAATTAGTGCTATTTGATTTATAATCATAATTTTGCCTATCAATGATAATTATTTTAGGTCCTATTTATTGAGTTGTATTGTAATTTGACTAAAAGCCTTTGCTCCATTTTCTATAAGTGGCATATAGAAACCTATCAAAAATCCAAGATATCTTATTGAAGCTCCTTTCTTTATCCAATCGAGTCTTTGTTCTTTTTCTTAGTTAAAATTTTGAACTTATTATTTTGTGCCAATTCATTTTAGTCCTAGAAGATACACAATAAGTGTCTAATACTTTCATGGTACATTGTAAGTTATCGAGTTTTCCTTTTAAATATAATAAGGTGTCATTAGTGAACATGGAATTGGTATGGAACTTTTAATTTGGTTTAATGAGTCCTTCCACATTGTGCTTAACATCATCTAGCATGTGTCCTAAGACATTCATTGCAAAGAGAAATAGATAGGATACTAAAGAGCATCCATGTCTTATTAAGCTTTTGAGGTTGAATGGTTGTCCTTGTTTTCCATTGATGGTGATGAAGGCTACACCTTCATTATTTAATGCCATAATCCATGCAATCCACTTGCTGAAAAAACCAAGTTATATCATTATATCTTAAAAGAATATCCAACTAATTCTATCACATATTTTTTTAAAGTTTAATAACATAAGTACTAAATCTTGGTTTCTCTCTTCTGCCCAAGTCAATGATTCCATGGCTAGAAATACGTTATCAAATATGCATCTGCCTCACAAAAAGCGTGTTTGAGCTTTGCAAATCCAACGAGGTAAGTATTGTACTTACCTGTTGGCTAGGACTTCGCTATAAACTTATATACTATGTTTAATAGGAAAATAGGCCTGTAATTGGTAATTATTGATAAGTCTCTTGTTTTGGGGATCAATGCAATGTTACTAGTATTGAGTTTGATAGGCAGCTTGCCTTGTGAGAGAACTTCTTCGGCAAATTCAACTATGTCAGATCCAATTTCCTCCCAACAATCTTGTAAGAATTCTGTCGAGATCATGTCAAGGCCTAGTTCTTTGTCTCGAGGAAGTTCCTTCACAGCAATCTTCACTACTCCTGGGGTGCTGTCTCATTTGAGATCTTTCTTTTGAGTTGGGGTCACCAGTTTTGATACGCTGGATAGGCAAATTGACTTGGCTTTACTGTTGTTTTCAACAGCGGTATCTTTGGTGTTTAGATTTTTGTAATAAGCATGGGCGTATACAACCATGTCCTTCTAAAGAATAAATATGCTGCCCTGGTCATTAAATTCTCTGATTCACATTTTCTTGTGTTTAGTCCCATATTGTTGGAAGAAGTTAGAGTTACATCTGTCCCCCACCCTAGTCCACTTCGTCTATAATGCTGTGAATTGTTTTTCTAGCCTGCTATGCCATATTTTTTGTAACTGAATCTGGGCTGAATTGAGTGAGACTCTAGCCGTCTAATTGCTCGAATTTTCTTGCAATCTGATTTCGGCTGAGAGTAAGTCTGCGAGTTGGTTTTGATACTATTGCTTCAAATTGCGATGGTTATTTTTGGCTATGCATGCATTCATTTCCCTGACTATTTTCAAGGCTGCATGCACTTTGTCACACCACATATGATGTTAGTGGTTAAAGATGCTGTGTTTCCATGCTTCGGTTAGAATTTCCCTTCTCGTTGCGATTTCTAGCTATCTTTTGTCGAAAAATTGCGTTCTGGATAGAGGTTTTCCTGTAGGTTTAAGTTTGATGAATATGGGAGAGTGGTAGGAGATACCTTGCTGGATTGGCCAGATACCAATTAATCCACCTCTATCTTGTAGTTTCGTCCCGATGTAGAAACTATCTATTCTAGTGAGTACCATTCAGGATGTGGGGCGGTGGTTGTCCCATGTAAAGTGTTCAATATTGGTTTTTCGAAATTCTCCCATTTGAAAAGAATCTTGAACTTGTAGTTTGATTAAGAGATTGTTCCAAGCCATTGTTTCTCGTAAGCCGCGGCCTAGATGATTATTTATCATCTTATATTTCAATAAAATTGAAATCCCCTCCCATAAGCCATTGTGCCTCTGGTAAGGGGAAGTCAGCAATCTTCTACCATAAATTTGATCTAAATCTTGTGTAGTTCGGACTGTATATGTTCAATATGCCGGTTTTTATAGCACGTGACCGTTCGAGTATAATATATTGCACTCTACTCCTTACGATCACACCATGGGCGGTAATGCCCTCGGCTAGTTTATGAGATGTGAGGATGGCAGTGCCATCAGCTAGGCTGTCTTCGCGTGCAGAATATACGGCAGCATTCCAAAAGATAGGTCCCTTCATGAATTCCAGTTGCGGTACCCATTCGGTATAGTCAATGTGGCTAAGTCGGTGTTCTTGTATAATGATAACGTCGGGTTTTGGATACGTATTTAGCATAAAATTTCAAAATTTGTGGCGTTTGCATACGTCTTCTAGGCCTTTTCCTAGGCACTGGACATTGTATGAGGCTACAATGAGGCTATCAGTCATCCTTATCTAGGATGGTTTCCTCTCCCAGTTTCTGCTCAAAGCAAATCAGGAGGGGGGAGGGGGGGGGGGGTATTGATTGCTGCTGGGATCTTCGCATGATGGAGTTGCTATTTATTTTCAGTCTGCATGTGTTATTGTTTGTATTCTCTTCAGTATGGGGTCTAAATGCATACCTGAATGGGAGACATGTTTCTATTTCATCATTTGGTACTGTTTGATGGTGGTGACTTGTTCATCTATCGATATGATAGCTACCCAATCACAGACTGTAATATTATCTTAGGATCTCCATTCGGATGACCACAGAGCGTCTGTCCATTGCTTCAAAGGGTTATACCGGTTTTTTTTTAATTTGTAATCTCATTCCATAGGCACTGCATAGTTTGATTCACCAAGTGATGTTTTGATGTTTCTGGGTTCCAATTTGTGTCACTTGGAGTTTGTGTGATTTGTAGTATGCACAGCGGGACAATGGAGGTTTTATGGACCAAGGCTTCTATTGCATGATCAGGGGTGGTACGGACCAGTATGGATGTTACGTGACCTTGTGCCCGCCCTTCACTGGGAGGTACGATGTCTAGAGCCTTCCAGAAATTGGGGTGCAATGAAGGTGACTCGTAGGTTATCGACCCACATAGTATTAGGTCTTGGATGGGTTGGAGTTATGAGATTGGTTTTTTCTCCACCCATACAAAGTTTGTCTTCTGGGAGTGTTTCTTTCAGGACTCTTGACCACTATTCTTGGAGATATCCTCGTCTATGTTGATCAATTTTGGGTGGTCAGCCACTGAATCTTCAGATTTTGTTGGTTTGTTACTAGGTCGTTTGCGGTCATCCCTCCTGGTGAGTGCACATTGCTTGGCGTGATGGGATGTGCTTCTGCACCGATTGCATTGGGATGCAAGTCCGCTGTATTCAATGTGGTATTCCTTTTCCCCGCCTGTTGGGTTGGGTAAGACCAAAGAGAATGGAAGCTTGGTGATATCTGCAACTAAAACGCGAACTTTGGGTCCTGAAACCTTGCTACGGTAAGTTTCCATGGGATCCACAACGAGGACCTCTCCTATGGTGCTGAATATTTTGGTGAGAAGTTGGGGTGTCCTAAATATTCGTCACAGACCCTTGAAATGCGCCCAGATCGGGAAAGTGTATTTGGATGTTGTATTATCACCAGGGTCGAAATTTGCCTTCCATGGTGTAAAAAGTACATCTTGATTGTTAAATTTATGTTGTTTCGAGAGCATCTGTGTCTTGCCTTGCTCGCTTGCACCTCAATGTATCCGATTCCAAGCATGGTGATGGAGGAGTAAGAGTTGTGGACTCTTGTGGCTCATTCGTGAAGAAATCTCGGACCCGGGTTCTTCCTCATATATCCTATCAAGGTATGGCTTTCCTCGTGAGTTATTTGGTTTTGCACCTGTTGCATTGTACTCTGGCTGAGATCGACCTTTATCTTGTGGTGATCAGGTTTGTTTTGATTGACTATCGGAGTTGTAAGAGTGGGCGCTCACATGGCTCCTATGGTCGGCGTGTCAATACCAAACGCTTGTAGTATCTGATCAACTTCCGGCTTCAGTTGTGCCAGTAGTCTCGAACCTTCTTCCTCAACTGTGTACTGGAAGCACAATCCTAAGTGTGGATTGGCTCGAGTAAAATCCTCGGTTGTGTCTCATTTCGTTTGCACGTATGCTTTAAGGTTTGCAATTGTGTTTTGGGCTCGTTTCAAAATAACTGGGTCAACTATGGATTCCTATCCGTGGAGGCAGGTTTCCGTGCCGTGGATTGGAGCTGTATTCCCTGTTCGTGTTGTTTATGTCGTTTCCCCTGGTCGCTCAATTTGAGAATGTTGTGTTGCACAGGCTGTGCTGGTGATGAGTTCCTGTTTGCCCCGAGTTTGCTTGACAGAGCCCCTCATTCCTTGTTATCAATGTGTCTTCTATAAAGTTGGTCAGCGGGGCTACTTCCTTGAGATATTGGACTGGGGTCGACATGGGTTCCCCATCTGGTGGAAAATATAGGAATTGGAGCTCGAAGCTCCCCTTCGACCGCTCTTCCGAAGAGTTTAGACCAGCAAAACTCTTCTGATTCCTGCCATGAGTTGAGGGTTGGAGGGCTTACCTGATGATATTCGTCTTGAACTGCTCTCGGAAGTGCTCCTGATCCAATGCGGTCCCTTGCCCTACTCCTGTTGCTGTTGCCACCTAGGTTTTGCTGCGAAGGGCGTTAAGTACTTTCGGGGCGCCACTTGGTCCCGCCTGGTCTCTGCTGATTCAGAGGCCAAAGGTTCAAAAACGCGATAACCCTGCCGAATACTATTTCACAAGTGTTTGTGTGCTTCCACAAAAATCGGATTAATGAATTTGGTTCTAAAATTCACTGCAAATTGTTGCGTTACAATCCCCTCGAGGTTAATGACGCCTCTCCGACTGTTGCATACTACTGCGCTCCTGAATCGGTTAGAAATCTAACATTCCGGAAAAATCGGATCTAAAGGTTGTATGCGGCTCCGCATCTCACAGAGCCCGCTCGCTCTGCTCTCTTTACCATTTGCTCTATCCACTGAGCTACAGGAGCTAGGTGACCGACCTCAACTGATGGTTGTATAAGTATTCTCACACAACTCTCAGTCCCACTCCAGCTCTCGCATGAAGTCTGATCGCACCGCTCTACCATTTGAGCTACTCCCCCGAGATATAAAAGTCGTTTTCAGATAAAACTTAGTATACATATAAGTTAAGCTGACCGCATCGAGAAGATCATGTTGGGTCATCTTTTAACACGGTGGAGATTGTACTTGAGTTACAATTTCTTCGACTAACATAGGGGTGAATCAGGCCAAGAAATAAAAAAAATTGAAGGAAAGGTCAAAGATTAGTAGCCATAATATCTTGAATTTAGCAGGATGGATTGCATGGGATTCGAATACAGTCAAGACCATTCAATATACTAACTTGTCAACCTGTGTTAAGGATCCCGTTTCATGACTACGAAATGGATACAGCCAATGACTGGCGAATATAAGTGATCTCAGCCTCAGCGTGCTCTGAGGGTAGAAAAACCTACCAAGAACTGGGCTCCAATGATCTCTGTGCTCAAACTACCAAAACTGGAAACTGCAACCATTCTCTACTCGTAGAGCCACTTCTCGTCGTTCTTGGTGTAGCTTACTAGCTCCTCAGGCTTGAACCACAAGCCAATCTCGTTAACAGCCGTCTCAGGTCCATCACTGCCGTGGATAATATTCCTCGATACTTGCACACAAAGGTCGCCTCTGATGGTTCCTGGCTCAGAAGCTTGCGGGCTGGTGGCTCCAATTAGCTTGCGTCCATACTTGATGACACCTTGACCTTCCCATACCTGAAAATTGCAATGTCGTATTAGATCGTCTTAATACTCAGAGTAGTAAGACGATCCTTTGAACACAGATGAGCAGCATCCAAAACTGACGAAGAGGGAACTGGTATTGACTGGGAGGGACATTGTAGCACATACCATAGCAACCACTGGACCAGAGCTCAAAAAGTCGCAAAGACCATTAAAAAAGGGACGTGAGCTCAAGTCATCGTAGTGCTGAGCAGCAAATTCCTTGGTGGGGACGATTAGCTTGATGGCAACTAGTTTATAGCCCTTGCGTTCAAAGCGCCCAATTATCTCTGAGATCAGGCCTCTCTGGACACCATCTGGCTTGATTGCAATGAAAGTCCTCTCCAACTGCATATGGTTTACGAGCTCAATTATTACAAAAGAGGGAAAAGGACACTTCAATGCACACAGCATTTGAATTTCAGTAGTCATTTACAAATATGCATAAGTATAGCAGGCATTACCTCAACGGCCTCAACTGTCGGGTCCTGGATCATGAAAGCTGCACAATGAAAAAATGGAAAACAATAATAAATGGCACAATCATTTAACTAGAAAATATACATAAATGCAATTCATACGTTAACATAAATCTGCAGCTAATGACTACGATATAACACCTGAAGACAATATTTAAAGTTTGGAAAATTTAACCATTTAGACGCGTGCAGCCAAGCTGAGGGGCCATCTTGCAAAAAATTAGATGCAATTCACTTTAAGGTCATTATATATACTACAAGAAAGGAAAAATGGTGATTTGTTCTCGTCATCAACACCTGCAACTGGCAAGAAGGTAGCAGCTGGGAACCATCTACTGTAGCCGCCATTGGTGCCTGAGGATGTCCTGACTGCAGTAGCGACAGCAGCACCAGTTCCTTTGCAAGCAGAAACAGCCAAAATTGTCCTCCCCTCTGTACGCAACCACAACAACAGGAGTTTAGGAAATGTTTCCGATGAGTACAAAAATTTACCAGCTCCATCAATCAGCTCTACAATTTCCGGGAATTCATGAAATGACGTGCAAACAACTTCATACAGAAGTCTAGAACAGAAACAAAACAGATACATTCCTCAAGACACCTGATTTCCACAATTCACAAGCTGGACGCAAAAATCACAGACGCACACAGATATTGCACTCAACAATGCATATACATGGCCCCTACTAGACCGTTTCCTTTATGTGCATCTCTACACAGAATTTACTAATGCTAGATCTCGTCGCCGCACAAACCACATGTTTAAAACCATGATTGAACGTGACATACACCTGATTGAATCCCTTCATTCCCAATAAAAGGTTGAAAATAGCACCAAAAAGCTCCTATCCACTGAGAGGAGATGGAAGTCCAAAGGGTCATCACAACCCGCATCGTACAAGGGAGGAATGCAGTGAAGCTCACGTCATCAAACCCTCAATACACTTCGCTAAGACCGCATTCCACCATTAGAATCAAGGCACCATCGACTCTCCAATGAGAGCACTACCAACCCACAACAGGAACAAATCAAGCCGAGGAAGCGAACCCAGACCTGAGGCGAGAGCCGGGCGAGGCGCAGCCGCCACACGAGCAGCCCACGCGAAGGCGGATGCGAGACGAGCCCTCACCATGGTCGCGGCGAAACAGAAGCAACACAGGAATCCAACTTCTCAACGCTGGCGAAACAGGTTTCCTGCGGGCCGCCTGGCGAGTAACCAAAACTCAACTCAGAGCGCAAGATTTCACAGCGCCGCTGAAGAAAACCTGTCGGGGCTTGTGGGTAGTGTTCACCTTGGGGAGAGGGAAGAGGAGCGACGACACCATTGAGTAAAGCAAGGCGCGGACTCCAAAAGCAGCAGTAAATTCATGCGTCGCGTCGCCTCCGCGCCGATCTTCATGCATTCCAACGAGTTCATCCCTCGACCCAGTTGATCGCTCATGTTCACTCCATCGCGCAAGTGCGTGTAAATCATGGGCGTCGGGTGGACAGTTTATTATTGCGAATCATGCCTTTCTTTTCGCCAACGTGAATCTCTGGGACCACAAACGTCATTCCCATGGCTCTGTGCTTCATTCATCATCGACGCCTCTGCTCGCCGTGACGTGGCGAGGTAGCGCCGCTGCCGCGCGTGCAGCAGCGTCTGTTCTCACCGTCTCCTGTGGGGCACATACTTAGCCACTTTTGTGTTGTTTTAATACAAGTCTGAACTTTCTTGTGTTGGTTCCTACTTCAATAGTGTTTGTGAGTAATGTGTTTTATATTCTGAACTTTGTACGTCTGAATTTAACTATTGACCACTAAAGCTTGCATAATGACTTTATACTGTGAAGACCATTGTGTGGAAAATTTTATTGTGGCCATGTGTGCCTTAATAAGAGGACAAATGATGGTGTGATTGAATGAATTAATGGACAGTCGAAAGCGTTTGAATGAATGGATTGTTTACATAGTTTGGATAGGCTAATGTCTTGTTGAATGTGCATTAAAGTATTGTAAGCAAAAATAGGTAGCTCAGGAATTCTGTGTAGAGGGAGAACTGTCCATGGTTCTTATGTTGCTCACTGCGTTATTTTCAGATCCGGAATACAAGTCAAACAAGGGTCAATTTTGTAGATTTTGAAAATATCAGAATTGTTTTACATTGGTTCGACTGAGAAAGCTGCAATTTTTAGAAATCATAACAACAATGATTCTCAATTTATATCTTTAAAATATTTCTTAGCAATCATATTAAACTTATCATATTCATATTACTGCTACTATGTTTATAAATCATGATGATGACAATTTTTCATTTTTTTGTATTATTATTACCTTAGAAGGGTAATATTAATGGCTCTGTATTATTTCCTGAGCTATTCAATATTCCTTGCTGTCGATTGATTCCACGAGCTACATAAGCAGGGTCTAAACAAGTCTTTCTTGGAGAATAGTGCAATTACCTCAGGAAGACTGGGATGGGTTTGTCCAGAGATTGTTGCTCCTCATATGGAGCACTTCATGCAGACCTGGTGCCGTGCGCTTTGCACATAAGGACTTGATTGTAACTTTGCTTCTCTTTCGTTAGTAAGAATCCTCTTAGTGTCAGAGCTACCTAGCTGGAGCAAGTTGTTCAAGATGTTGTATTTATCTGGGAATGAACACTCTGTATCTATTTTGTTACTTGTTCAACCTCTTCAACTTGGTTTTACCGTTTGATCGTTCTTTCGTATCAGTTTTAAAATACCTTTTTTTTCTTTTTTCTCAGGATACGAGATGATTTTGAGAAAGAAGATTCTTTTCGAGGCCTGTGTGCTATGGTATATTTCGCAGATCACAACCAACCAGGTACGAACATGTACGCATTATCGAAAGCGATATTTTAGATTAACAAGATACTTTCGTGGAATTGAAGGAAATCATTTAAAAAGTGTCGACTAATTGATCGTGTGGGGTGGTATATTAGGTGCGGTTGAACCCCGGCGGTGCTGAGAGTTCTTTGGCATTGATGTGTGAAGCTATCGGTAGCTGGCATGTAAGCACATTCGTGTTGCCCTTGAATTGACTCAAGTAGGTAATTCGGTATTTGCGAATTGCACATTGCACTTATCTTCTATGACTCTAGAGTATATTAATCTCTTCCAACCTCTTATTTTAGCTGTTAGTGTCTCGGTTCTGTTGCAATGACACAATTATATGTAACGGAGATTTAACATACCAAAATAGGTGGTCTCTGTTATTTGTATCGTTGATTGCGATTGTGGTATAGGAGATTCGGAGTAAAGAGCTTAATTGATGCATTAGAAACTCATTTATGAAGCTTTTGAAATGGGGTCATGCTATTGCTACGACAATTTTTTCACTGCCACCACAATTTGCTACTAACTCAACCTACACTTTTAGTTTTTTTTATTTAGATATGTATATATATATAAAGTGAATTATATAAGAACATCAAAAAGTTGAATTAGTGTAATTTCAATAAAATAAGCTTTTTTTGTTTCAAAATTTTCATATATACATATATATGTAAAAATATATGAAAATATATATATGATTACAAAAAACCATACGTTTTGATTTAGCAATGATAAAGGGTGTGAGTGATATGTGGTGGATGGAAGTTTTAGTGGCAATAGCAAAATTGTGGTGGCATTTGCAATACCTTTAAAATATCTTGAAAAATAAACATGATTATAATTGTTTCATAATCACAAGACCATGTAAAGAATAAGAAGAAAAATATTCCAGAGTTGGGTGATTCAAAACTGTTAACAAAGATTCAGTAGTTTGGTATCTAAAGTGTATGGGGATTTTATTTAAGTGGATTACATAAACACCGAACAGTTCGTGGATGAAACACGAGTGATGAAGAATTCGGTTCAATACTTCGACGAATGACGGTTTCGAATGAATGCAAAAAGATAGTAGGTCATGGTTTGAATACGTGGCGAGGCATGTTGACGAGATCCCGGTCACAGGGTACAGAAGTGCGCATGACCGATCCCACGGTGACCCACTCCCTTGCCGACTCTGATGTGGAGATTATTATTGTGCTTGTTTGCCAAGCGCGTCCTTGCTCGGACGAGCTTCGGAGAGGTGATCATTTCACTGCTGCAGTTGCGATCGCAATCCGGCATACTGCATTGGATTCCTGGCAAAGTTTCCAGAAGAACCCACCAATTGAAATTCGGTTTCCTTCGGTTCTGGGGTGCGTTTTCGATGGACAACATGCAGAAGGAAGAACTGGAGCGGTTGATGTTCTTCGAGCAAGCGCGGGAGAAGGCTGCTGCCGAGTACAATCGCTCGCCCACCGACCCCGACGTATGTTCTTCAGATTGTCTTGGCCCCCGTGTGGTGTGCTGATGTAGGTAGTTGGTTTGGGAATGTAGAGTTTATGGTTATGGTGGTAGGGTTGTGGATTACTTGTGATGGCTCTTGGGATTCGCTTTGAGGTGTCTGGGTAGAGGCGAATCAGTTTTGGAAGGATTTTTCGCTCTTGTGTTTAGATTTTAGGTGGTCTGTTGTAGATTACTGCTGAGGAGTGCTCGTAGTAGTTACATCCCTTGGAATTATGGAGGAGGAGGAGGAGGAGGCGGAGGAGGCGGAGGAGGCGGAGGAGGCGGCGAAGTTTTTCATTGCACCTTTGCCTCTTTTTGAAGCTTCGTTGCGCTGAGTTGTTCTCTCCAGATAGTGTGTTTGTGAAAGATTGTGTTGTTGCGATTTGGATTGGAAGAGTGCATCCTGGGAAGCAGTATTCAGGCCGTTCTGGCTTGGTCCAACCTGAACATTTTCAGTCGTAATCTCACTATCTTTCTGATTTTCTATTAGTGTAGTTTGGAAAACAATGTTTATTTTTACAGTATGAACCCGCAGACAATTCTAATCCTCTCATGCATTGATTACATGCTGAACTGGTTTTCAATGTCGATCAGGTCTAATTTTATCCTGTTCAGTGATTTGGCGGATATGGGGCTTTTCTTCATGATTTTGTGCCCCGGCGGTTTTCAGGGTAGGCCCGACTACGCTGAATTACTGTAGATTTGACTTGAACATTTTGTATCTAATACGCTTGGTTTTGAATGTATGTGCAGAACTTGATAAGATGGGGAGGTGCACTTCTAGAGCTAGCGCATTTCAGGCAGGGACAAGATTCCATCGACATGGTGCAAGGTTGTCACCATAGAACATATTCAGTTATTTCAATACTTACGTTTTAGATTGAATTCAACTAAATGAAATATGTAATTTATCTTCTGTATCTAATAGTAAGTCAATCTAGGATGCGACTATTCTCATATTAACAATTATTCGTATTGTTTTCTAATGTCTATATTTTATTACGATGGGCTGCGTGAACCATTACACTCAAGCATATTTTGATATGAACGACCAGTTTGATCAACCATACCATGGATTTAGTTTTCATAATGAAGTGTATGTCCTAATTTTTGTGTTTACTTGGCAAATTCACATATTGGTGCAGTTAACTCTTCGATAGGTGGCTGTTTGAATTCTTTGAGGAATTTTTTAGGATTGCTGTATCTTTTCCGTTTAAATTGGATGGTTCTTGCGCATCAAACTGTATTTTGTAATTTTCCTCACCTCCTGTGTTTAAATCTTTTCATCTGAATGGGTCGAAAATCCCTGCTTTGATTTCAGATGCCGTGTCAAAGTTGGAGGAGGCTTTAAGAATCAACCCACGCAAACCTGACGCACTATGGTGCTTGGGTAATGCTCATACGTCCCAGGGTTTCCTTGTTAATGAGACTGATAAGGCTAATGGATTCTTTAAGAAAGCTGCTCGCTGCTTCCAGCAAGCACTTGACGAGGAGCCAACCAATGAGCTCTATCAGAGGGCACTGGAAATGACAGAGAAGGTGCGTGCTTCCACCTTCCTTTTTTGATAGAATTTTGAAGTTTGTTACATTTTTTTGGCTCTATGGCCTTCACAACAAACTGTTTATTATCCTTTTTCTTTCGCTTGTAAATGAAAGCTTAGGCCCAACAATCAAACACCATAATGTGTCTTTGTATTTTGTATAATTTTTTAGTCTGAATTTTTTGGATTTTACTGTTCCGGTTATTTTGTATTTAAAGTCAATGCAATTTCATGCTCATGATAACACTCGAATATCATTTAGCAGCAAATGAACCTAAATAACAATGTATGCTGACTTGGTGCTTCTGTTCGCTACAGGCACCATCACTTCACCAAGAACTGCAGAAGCAGTTGGCCTCCCAGGCAGCTCTTAGCGGAGCACCTGCAGCTGGACCAGCGAAACCAGTAAGTTCATCAAAAGAAGTTATACTTTTGCTTCACACCCAAGTTATTGCAGTTTCACTTTCAACTTTTCCATTTTGAATTACGGAAGTACGTAGTGGAAGTCTATCCCATCTTATTCTAGCTCGCCTCATTGAGAAGAATACTATATTTGCATGTAAATTTTATACCCTTTCAAACTCTAATATCGTTGAATTAGGTCCCCGACAAACTGCTCTACCAAGGGTTTTAATTCCACGCGGTTTATTGTGATTTCTCAGGCAGCAAAGAAGAAAAAGGACAGCGACTTCAAATACGATGTTATGGGCTGGATGGTGCTGGCAATTGGCGTGATCGCATGGGTGAGCATGGCTAAGTCTAATATGCCACCACCTCCTCCTCCTTCGTCCCTGAAATAGATTCACTTCAGCCTCGGACATTACATTCTCTGAATTTGGGTGAGGAGTTAAGTAAAATCGTCACTCGCTTTGTTTCTACCTACCCGCCAGAGGAGGATTCATATTCCTTTGTACGTAGTTGACGTTTGCATTTCAGGTGGAGGTTGACTAAACTAAGTAGGAGTTTCGTTGCCCTTTTTACTGTTATCTTTTAATGCTTTTACTGTGCATACTAGAATGCATTTGATGCAAAAGGTGATGTAGATTCTTCTTGCAATCTGCTGAGCATCTATTTTTGGGCAAGGATCCATGGAGCTAGATTCTGGTATTGAAGCTTATGGCCTCGGGTTGTAATTGGTCTAGTTACTTAATAGCAGCTCAAGAATGACTGCTCTGCTATTCTTATGAAGAGATCTTCTGATGACCAGATTGTGGGGTTTGACCATATTCGTTTGCACTTTCTCTATGTCCTTTTCTGTGCAGTCTTAATTGTTTGGGCCTGTTTACACCTAAGTTTGTTAAACAAGTATTGGATATTAGCACCAAAGTTCGAGTACAAATTAGTTAATTGTGAGTTCAAGGTTCAAGTGCTTTTTAAAGGTAAATGAATGGAGAACTGTGTTGACGTCATTAAAGATATACAATGTTGTAATGGTCATTCAAAAAAAACTTTGGATACTATCTTGGAAGTGATCACTGTCTTGGTATAAAAAGAAAAATTTGAATTGTTATGTATTCAAGTAATCATTTGTATAGTGGTGTGCAATAAGTCTTATATCCCTGCTGATGAAAAAAAAAGACTTCTTTGGTGAGGCTCACAACCACATACAAGTTTATGTATTTACAAAATTTGTAGGACCACAAGAGTATCATCTCAGCTTTACTACCACTTAGTGTGACTTCCATTTGCATTAAGAATTGCATACAATCTTCTGAGCATCTACAGTGCCTTGATCAATGAAGTTCCACTCTTCTTGTGCCACTTCAAACAATTGTTAGGCATCATGAGACATCTCTTTCTACAAGAAATTCTTTCTAATGAGTTGTTTAAAAACCATCCAATAATTTTCAATTGGATTGGAGTTCAAACAATTAGGTGGCCAAGGTAGTTGTACATAGCCACATTCTCTATAGATTCTTGCATTCTTAAATCATTAGTGCCATCTTGCTCCATCTGCATCTAGGTAGATGTAACTCAGCTCATTGCTTAGAATACAAATAAAAAAAATAATGTAAGATTTGTGCAATTCTTGAGCAAATTGCATAGCATTGACGTCAAGTCTTTTGGAAGGAGTAACACACTCCCTCTTTGTCCTCTTTCTTACTAATGCTATCTTATAACAACCTCCTCTTGTAATGCATGTAAAAACCCCAACATTTGTACTCTTTGACTTGAAATTTGGTTTAAAGTTCTTTTTGTGTAGTTCCTCTCTTTGATACGCACAGACCCTTTGCCTTCCAAGATATGGATCATAGACTATAGTGGTCTCATCAATGAAACAAATCCTAGTCCATTATTGTAAACTCCACCTACAACATCTATGAGCAAATTCTGTATGTTTTTCTTTTTGTCTTGATTTCTAGTAGAGTTTCAATTTTGGCACCTTCAAGCAGAAACCATTAGTAGAAACAATCTTGCAAATGCTTGAGAAAGAGAATCCAACATTTGCTTTTCTTGCAATCTCTTGCAAAGATAATCTAAGATCCTTATCTATTATCTCATCTACTCTTCTTCTCACAATCCTTGTAATTTTCCATTGACAACCTTTGCAAGGCTCATCTTCAACATGACCCTCCTATGAATCCCTTCTCATCACCATCTTTTGAACTCTTGACTTTCTTATCCCCAAAACCTTTGCAATCCTCTCATAACTCTAGTGTATTACATTGTAGAGGGTATAAATCCTCTTATTCAATTCTTCCTTCATATCTCTTTAGCCACATAAGGGCACTACTATGAAGATAGTCAATTACATTGACTTTGTCAAAGGAGATATAAGAACTTATTGCATACAACTATATGTATTAAACATGGTTTTTTAGTTGTCAAAGTCTAAGTTGATAAATTAGATGATAAAAAGATATTCAAATATGTTTCTTGATGGTTGGCTTACTTGAATATTTATTTTTTTGATTAAATTATATTTTCTTAGAATAAAAATATTATCAAATATTATAGCAATCAATAATTCTTTCTAATATTTCTTCCTAAAAGTTGAAAATATTAAATTTTAAATGAAAAATATTTTACCAAGTATGATACATCACTATTATATATATATAGCTTATGTATACCCAATGCACCTAACTAGTGTAAGTAATTCAAATTTTGTTTTACTTTTTCCAGGTTTACAATGTTTCTTCATTGCATTCTTGGGAGCACCTCAAACACTCTACATAATTCTATCCATATTTTGTCTTGTCTGAAATAGATAGACAATGTTTTTATCTAAGATGACTGGTTCATTAGGATCATCCTATGTTAAATTATGTTATATTATATATTACCATTATGTATTATAATATTACATACACAACATATGTTATGTATTCATACCATCAATAACATATTTAGTTTGGTGTACGGATGTGATGAAGGTATACTATGCACACCCAACTGGATTATAATTACAACAAATAAAATAATATTATGTCATAATCTATTACATATATAGATTAGCTTTGCTATCACATACCATGCTCTACTGTGTGTTATCACAGACATACTATATCCTATTGTGTGTGTGTGTATATATATATATATATATATATAGATAATTGATTATTTATCACACAAACAAATCATGACCAGTATTTACCATTTTAAAACTAATTAAAGATTATCTATTGTTAGGTTGGGTCTTTATAGTAGATACCACAAAGATTTTATCTCAATTACAAGTGTAATCAAGGTTGCCTGTTACGTAATTTTTGGATCCTTCACATGAGTGATAGTTTCTGGATTTTATCAACGCATTCTCACCATTCAAAAGTCACACACATTCTAGATCAAATGAATGATTATATAGTTACACAGTAGCATTTTGAAATGATACATTCAATTACAACACAACTCTGCAAAAACACCACATAAATATTTAAGAGGCACTACAAAAACTGTTCAAAGATCAATCACAACACAAGGCACAAATTTCAACAGAAAAAAAAAAAAATACAAGATAAAATCCAAAACTCAAAGTTTTAGTCAAGCGCAAAAAACATGGATAGAAAGTCAAGGTCATCACAGAATATCCAACCCAGAAATACCGCCAGGATTCTAAGAGAATCATAATTAAAATAACCATGAAATAATGCAAAAGAAACAAAAAAAAAGCAAAAACAGTAATATGGTATACTAATTTGCCTTGTAGAATATTAAAAAAACAGAGGGTGTGCTATTATTATAATATATTTTTTTTGTAGCGTGAAGATCGAATGAGGTATTTTACTCAAGACTTGTTGCCGGTAGTAAAGATGGTGAGGTGAACCATGATAGTGAGGCGCTCCAAGTGTCTGTAGAATCCAAAGCCAGCATCAGCAGCAGCAATGGATCAAATGTAGCCCGGAGTCGGAATCCCAATCATCCCACACCGCCGGACTGCATGGCGGAGTACTCCACAGCTCGAGATTTCCATGAGTTCCAACATCCCCGCACGCACCCATAATATCAATAATAAACAAATAAAACAACAAAGCAAACCACCAAAAATCAACCAACAGTCACTCCTCTGGGCAACTGAGCTGCACTGTTGTCTTCGTCGGTAAGCAGCGCGCTTGTCTCGTTGTTTAGAATTTGGGTCATCTTCTCTTCTTTGTGTCGTCATTGCAAGTCCCGCGGTGCCATAGTGATCCCGTCGTCGCCGTCATCTGCTTCACGATTCTCTCCTGCGCAGCCTTTGCTCGCCTTTTCCCCATTCTCAGACCGATAGATTCGTTTCTTGAGGAGTTTATTGAGGCTGTTCCGCATGGTTCGGCGTTGGTCGTGTCTCCTGGTGTTCGAGTTATGGTGTTTGCGGTAGATTTCCTTGCGAGACCCCTGGAACTATCTGCACCAAACGCTGCTGTTTTAGTTTGTATTTTTGGTACGAGGTTAACTTGGAGTTTCGTGAGAACCTTATTCACCTGGTTGGGTTGCTTGTGGCAGAGGTTGCACTGAGACTTTGTAGAGAATCGTGTACGTGATTGTGCAACTGTTTCCTGGTGTTCTGAGCTTCATTCGTGCGTTGTGAGGTATTGTCTGCTTCGCTGTTCCAGTCTTGGTTCGAATGTATGTAGTGTCTGTGTCTCTGCGGTTGGCGGAATCCAATTTTCATCATGTTTGGCGTTTCTTTTGTTTTGAGAGGTGAACGCAGCGTGGCCATGGTTGTTGAATAAAGTCCCTGGCTGCCCTGAAGGGGCTGAAGAAAAGCCGAACTGGTTGATTGAACTTCGAAAAGTGTGATTCAGGCGTTCAGGTTGTTGATCGATTCATACTCTTGTGAGTGACCGCTTCCCTCGGAATGGCGCGTCCTGGGGAGTATCATCAACGAGGGCCGTCCCCCTGGGTGCCCGCCATAATTCTTGCCTTTGTTCTTCTCGTTGCAATTGCGTACAAAGAGGCGCCGAAACCCACCATGCAATGTCGCAGTGTGTCATACCATCCACCGAAGGAGAAGCCAGCTCCCTTCCTTCCTTCTCTCATGTGGGTGCCTATCGCAATACTTCTCTGGTTTCAGTTTTTTGCAGGAAACTCCAGGAGTCCCGTATACGGTCGCCTTGGCGCATCGGAAAGGAGGATCGGCGCTTCCTATGGCCCTGGTGGCCCCTTAGTGTACTGCAACATCCACCACGCTCGCAACCGGAACAACCAGCCAGGCACGATGTCGATATTGCTAGATTATGGAGCTCACTGGTTGCTCCTCCTGCTGGGAATCTGGCTTTACACATCGTTCGGAGGCGAGTCATCGCCAGAGCCAGCTACTACGGTCTATCGTCAATGTTCGACTATCGTCCGGAGGTAGTGATGTAGGCCATGGCGTAGACTAGACAAATCTGAACTGGAAGTCCTTAACCTAGCTTGTTAACCTGCACTTGCACCGGTCGAGACAGCATCCGAGATTTTGAATAATTGTTGCCGACATGTGTGGTCCTGTGTGAGTGCGACGCTTTCAGGCGGCACCGAATTCACCATTCTTTGTGATCAGAACGAGTTGTATGAATCGAAAGTTATCTGTTTTATGTGTTTATTTTTGATGTAGAAACGATTGATTGTGGGAGGTTATGAATCTGGGTTGGAGGTTGTGCCTAGTTTTGCTACATCCCGCACAAGCTCTGGTCGCTCACCTTGAATGTCGGTAAATGAGCATCTTGGTTCATCGAGAAGTGTACCTTGGTGTTGTAAGTCACGTTTTGCAGTCATAGAAAGACACAAGAATGGTAATTACGTGTTGAATTTATGAATTTTGAAGAACTGAAGGACTAAAGGACTTAAATTTACACTGTTGGATTCTACACATATCACAGACATGTAGAAGTAGTGTCTAACTAATGCGGTAATTTTCATGGTTGTTATCTGATGCTCTGTTAAGATATTTACCTTCAACCAACTCAGGGCCAAGTATAAGATTCTACTTGTGTTCAAAATATTAAGATGGCACTTCTTCAACTCATGACTTGGGTACAGTTGGCAATGTCACATCTCCACTGTTTATATTGATTATATGTCTTTGCTCGGTGATCAAACATTTTCATCGTTGGCAAGGACACCTCTTTATTTAAAATACATGGTGCTTATCATGACTCAATACATTCTAGTACAAATATCATGAGTATAACTCCTTCATGATTCACGAGGAGAATTTGAGAAACATGAACTCTAATACAGGCCACACCATGTGGTGTATATATATATATATATATATATATATGATTAAAATAATAAAATGTATTACGCCTACCTCTTCAGATGCGCTTGAACATGATGACTGATACAAAGACCTAGAGCTGACTTGGACCCATAGTAACTGGGGCATGCAGCGGGCCTTTGCCACCAAATATACCCCACACCCATCTACACGCAAAACCCTGCTGAACACAGGTGAGAATTTTGATGTACTTTTTTTATTTTTTTTATTTTTTTTATTCGTTATTACCCGACCCCCCTGTGGACGGGGCACCCAACAAACCACAGCAGCCAAAAAGCACGCATGTCGACAGCCTTACTTAGTACAGACTTCGAACCTGTGCCCTGCGCACAGCTAGCTTCACTTTAATCAAACTAAGTTGACACAGCCACGTCGCCCAATACAGATAGAATTCGCCATCAGTTGTGACTCGGTTCGTAGTTGGAGGGCGTTTGATTTGCTTTGATCCGTCTGTAGGATCAGTTAACTTCGGAAGGTAGGAGCCGCTAGATAGCTTCTCGGAAAGCTTCGAATCACCGAAATAGGAACTAAGAGGAATCTGTGGCAACGAATCAAGTGACGAGTGTCCGGGGGGTTAGGATGAAGTGACTCCGGAGGAGCAGTTGTGAGAGCTAAACAGTTGAATTGTCGTGAATGTTAGTGTTGCAGAAACAGTGGGTTCCAACAAGCTAAAGGCCGTCGAGATCAGAGTATTCAGATGCCTAGAGTGGCTGCTACTGGAGTGAAGGGAAGCCCTCAAGCAAAACAAGATGTGGAATGTAGATTGACAAGGTGGAGTGTTAGATAGGTGGTTGAAGTCAATACAAAGATTAAAAAAGTAAATTTTTAATTTTGTGTGTGTGTGAGTTGGTAAGGTGCTTTATTTTGTGATTTTATTTTATTTTGTTTTTTTTCATATTTATTGAAAGATTATAATTGTTGTGAACAAGTCATTTAGTAGAAAAGTTTATTAGAGTTTTTTAGAGATAAAATTTGTTAGTATTTGTAGTGTTTGTTAGAATTTGTTAGGATTAGGATGTAAATTTATGGTGGTTGTTTTGAGGTTTATTAAGGTTTTCTTAGAGATAGGATTTATTACCTTAAGATTTGTATATCATTTATGTATGGTTTAGTATTTGCTAAGAATTATTTAGGAATTTTTAGAATATAGGATTTAGTACCTTAGGATTGTGAAGGTTGGATGAAATAGAGAGAAGATAGTATTGAATAGAAAAATGATAATTGGAAGAATAGAGTAGAATGTGAAATGTTGTACATGTTGAATTTTGAAATATTTGTAAGTAAATTACTATAGCATATATTTGAAAGTTGATCAAAAAATATATTTTGGTGTAAATTCCTTTGTCATGTATATAGAAGCTAAAATGTCTACTCAACATGGAAAATTCTTATATTAATTTGTAAGATATTAGAAGTATTTGAAAAATATGTCAAGTCCATGTTGCAACCTTGAAGGTCTCATTTGAAGAAAGCATGTATATTAAATAGAAACCAATGTACAAATCTATGTAAGAATATTGAAGATATTATGAAGGTGTTTGATTATTTGTATTAAAGATAAGAACTCAATTAAAGTTAATAAAATAACAAAGAAGTATGATAAAATAGAAATAAGAAAGTATGAATATTAAAAAGAAATTGAAATAGGTATTGCTAAAAGATAAGAAAATTAGAAACTTCTTGAAACTAGATTAGAAGCAAGAAAGGAATTAATAAGAGTGAAAAAAGCTTCACTCTTCCTTTTACATGTATTATCTACATAAGAGCTATGTGATAATGTTCTATAGGATTTTCAAAACATGCTGACTTTGTATGACACATATCTTAACTTGTAAAATAAGTTTTATATATGGACACTACATAGTTAGCTTATTTTGTAAGCTACTAACACATGTGACATGTGGTTAATTTGTTGATCAAGTTTCTAATCTACCAATCAACTACAAATATATATAAAATTAAAGCAATATTTATAAAGCTTTTAGAAAGCTTCCTTAGAAAATATTATAAAATTAATATATTTTTATATATTTTTTTATTCATATTATTTAGATAATAATTACAATAAATATATATCCATGATATTATCTCTCCTTTTAGAAATGAATTCTACAAGGAATAATGATCACATATTGATGAAATCTAAAATCAAATAAATTATATTTGCCACAAACTTTGATCTTTGTTTCTTTTGAAGTTAGTTCATGAATCTTCTCAACCATCAATAATGTTCTATTCCAGGGAGGAAAACTACCCTATTATTTGATCATTGTTAAGACCCTCATAACTTCCTTCAAACAAAACATTTGTAACATTATTAGGAGTTGTTTTTACCTCCAATAAAACCACCAAATATTGAGACTTTTTTTTTGAGGTTGTAATATCAAACACATTGTATCTTACCATCTATTCAAAGAAGAAGATATTATTCTTAAAGGTCTTCATCCACGTTATGTTATCTTAAAAGCTAAGTTAATTGTAATATCTTATCTAATATGTCAACAAATGATGGCTCTTGAATTGAAACTATTAATTGTTGATTCTTTATCTACTTAATACCACAATTACATAAAAACTAGAAAGAAAGATAGAAGGTAGAATTAATCTTTTCTAAATTGTGTTTCTTTTTACAGCAAAAGTTTGCTATCCTTCATCTTAGTTTTAATAGATATTGTTGATGAAAAGTTTTGATCTTTTCTGATGTATTTATAAGATTTTTTACTAACTTCCATGTTCATTTGGTAATATTGTATTTGCACCAATGAATAAGATAATTCAACCTGAGTCGGCACTACCTCAAGTCTAAAACTTCTTCTATCTTGAATTCTTGATTATTATCTACTTCTATATGAAGGAGTAGTATTTTTTTTTTTTTTTTTGAAGATATTCATTGTCTTATATACCTCTAAAAGATACATATAAAATATAAGATGGATTTTTATAAAGTCCACTAAATGTAATCAATAAGTGACTATGTTGAATTTTTCACAAATAGGAAATGGTCTAAATCTATGGTAATCCAACTTATCATAAGAATGAATAATTTTAATATTATGACAAAGTAATCATATCTTATTACTAATGTAGAAATGAGGTTGTTCTTTGCAATAGGCATCCATGTTGCTCTTTTGTTGTTCTTGAGCCTTTTTTAGTTGCACCTTCTTTATTGTATGTATCTTAGATAAATGATTTTTTAAATCTTTAGCCATAAGATTATCAATTTTTAAAAAGTAAAAAATATCAAATTATGGATGATAATCATAATTAGCAAAAAAATATATTTATTATATAGAAGAATATCTTATGCTATTATAAACAAACTTATCCAATGGCAAAAGAATTGTCCAATCATCTTCTTTGTAATTGATGGTACATCTCAAATACTGTTCTAAAACTTGATTTACATGCTTTATTTATCCATCAATTTGAGGATAGAAAGTCAAAAATAGTTTTATAAATATCTTTAGAATCTTGAAAAGAATTTTTTAAAATCTTGATACAAATTAAATTTTTTTATTTGATATAATATCTTTAAACAATTCATAATAGCAATAGATGTTGACAAGGAAAAGCTTAGTTGTTTTTTTACTTGTGATAGATTTTTTACATGATAAAAAAAAGGCCATCTTTGTGAAAAAATCTACTATCACAAATATAAAGTCATAAGAACCTAAGATTAGAAGATCCGTGATAAAATCCATAGAAATAAAAGACCATGGTTGTTCTAAAATGTATAATGGCTAAAGAAGTCTATAAAGTCAATAACAAGGAGATTTTGATCTTGAACAAACATCATAGGATTGTATAAAATCTTTAATTACCTTCCATATTTGAGGCCACCAAAAATCCTTAGATATAAATTCTAAAGTCTAATTATATCCAAAATATCTTATTAGAAGAAAGTTGTAATGGAGCTTGAAGAACATGTAATTGAGTTTTATCTTTTGGAACATATAAGTACCTTTTAAAATACAATAGGTTTTTCTTGAATTCAAACTTGGAAGTATCATGAGACTTTAAAGGATTTTTTTTAATATGAAAAATAAGAAGATCAAAAGACATACTTAATTTACCTTGTTTAATAAAAGTTGAATTGATAATTAGTGTTGATTTCATCACTCAAAAATGAAGATGCTTTGGCTTCAAGAAAATTATCCATTATTGATCAAAAGCAGCATGTTCTTTCTTTGATATAAGATAAGATTGTCTAAAAATTATATTTGATAAATATTATTATTTTTTTTAATGATAAGTGATCTTAAATTTGAATTTTGATAAAAATATGCTTGAACAAGCTTCGCGACGATTCAAAACATGTGCTA